TTTTGTTTGTTTTGCTCTCTCTCTCTCTCTCGATACATTTATGTATATGCATACATATATATATATATATGTATGCACATGTACTCGTAAACTTATTCCCCAACCTATGCTTGCACTTATGGTAACTTTCTTTTCTGACGAGCTGGGCCTGCCCGTCGGTATGGCGGCTGCGAGGTCGCCGTTGCCGCCCCGGCGACGCCTCGTCGCCGCCCGTCTTCTGGGCTTGCCCGTCGGTCTGGCGGCCATGTGGTCGCCAGCGCCGCCCCGTCGCTCTGGGCCTGCCTGTTGGTGTGGCGGCTATGCGGTCGCCGTCGCCGCCCCGTCGCCGCCATCGTTAATTTGCTTAGAATTAACATGCGCCGCATTGCATGGATTTGCGCTGCTTTCTTTGCGTTGCTTTGCATGTTTTTGCATTACCTTGTCTTGTGTTTTGCCTTGCGTGGCTTTGCGCTGTTTGGGATTGCTTTGCGCTGCTTCTCACTGCTTTCTTTGTTTCGCGATGCTTCGAATTGCATGGCGCTGCGGTGCGTAACATGACACAGAAAGGAGACGATATGAGAAGGAGGAGGATGAGGAGGAGGAGGAGGAGGAGGAGGAGGAGGAGGCGGAGGCGGAGGAGGAGGAGGAGGAGGAGGTGGAGGGGGATGAAAGGGGTTTGCGGTTTTCTCTTTGCGGCTCTGCGCGCCGCAACGCTTGCATATGCAACAACGCGCCTAACAGCACGTCGAACAGTGCTTGCACTCAGGTTTGTTTCCCCCGGAACGGTCCAAGATGCCCCCAAGACGGTCCTAAGAGGGCCCCAGGACGGCCCAAATGGCATCCAAGACGCCCAACATGGCCTCCAAGACGGCATTGCAGCACCCCTGGCCCCGAGTCGGCCCAAGTAGGCCCTCAAGACGGCTTCCGAAGGCGTCAGACGGGCCAGGAGGCCACCAGGATTGCCTGAGATGTCTCCAATATGGCCCAAGACGGCCCAAGAGGCCCCAAAGAGGTCTCCAAGACGGCCCCAGAGGCCGCCAAAAAGGCTTCCAGGAAGGCCCCCAGAAATCAAAAGCATTGATTTCCCTTAGGTTTGCCATCGATGTTGGCTTGTGCTTCTTTCCAATCTTCCGGCGGCCCGGGACGGCCCAAGAACCCCCAAAGATCGCCCCAAGATCGCCCACGAGACCTTCCAAGATGGCCCCAGAACGGCCCAAAAGGCTCCGAAAACGGCCTCAAGAGGGCCCCCAAACGGCCCACGAAACTTCGAACACGCCCAAGATGGCCTCCAAGATAGCCGTGGAGCACCACGGGAGGGCCTCGGCCCAGAGAGGCTCCCAAGACGGTGTCCGACGGGCCAGGGATGCCCTAAACCGGCCAAGAAGGCCCCCGAAAAAACCCTCCCAAAGGCCCCCCAAAAAACCCAAGGAGGCGCTAAGAGACCTCCCAAAAGCTCCCAGTTGCTCCAAGGAGACCCCAAGAGCTCTCCCAGAGGCTCCCAAGACGCCCCCTCCTCCTCCCCCTCCTCCTCCTCCTCCTCCTCCTCCTCCTCTCCTCCTCCTCCTGCTCCTACTCCTGTTCCTGTTCCTGTTCCTTCTCCTTCTCCTCCTCCTCGTCGTCCTCCTCCTCCTCCTCCTTTTTCCTCCTCCTTCTCCTCCTCCTCCTCCTCCTGCTCTTCTTCCTCCTCCTCCCTCCTCCTCCCCTCCATCCTCCTCGTCCTCCTCCTCCTGCCCTCCTTCCTCCTCCTCCTCCTCCTCCTCTCCTCCGCTCCTCTTCCTGTTTGCTCCTCCTTCCTCTCCTCTCCTCCTCCTCGTCCTCCTCCTCCTCCGCCTCCTTTTTCTCCTCCTCCTCCTCCTCCTCCTTCTCCTGCTTCTCCTCCTCTTCCTCCTCCTCCCTCCTCCTCCTCCTCCTCCCTACTCCTCCCCCTCCCCCCTCCTCTTCTCCTCCTCCTCCTCCTCGTCCTGCTCCTCCTCTTCCTCCTCCTCCTCCTCCTCCTCCTCCTCCTCCTCCTCCTCCTCCTCCTCCTCCTCCTCCTCCTCCTCCTCCCCCCTCCTCCTCCTCCTCTTCCTCCTCCTCCTTCTCCACGTCTTCCTCCTCCTCCTCCTCCTCCTCCTCCTCCCCATGCTCCTGATGTTTCCCGCCGTCCTCCCCCGGTGACGGTTGAAAGGGGGGGGGCTCGGCCACATGGGCGAATCCAGAAGGCAGAGGAACGGCGGTGATTCGCCGTAGGCGTCTTGTGTGTATGTGTGTATCTACATATATAATATGCATACATGCATATTTTATAATATATATATATATATATATATATATTCGCCGGCCCAACGGGCCAGGGCGTGCTAAGATCTGCGGTAACTGGTTAACAGTATTAACAGTATTTCTAGTTCGCGCGCGCGGGGCGGCCCCTGGGGGTCCCCCGGCGAAAAGTACCCCGACCAACGCCCGGTCGCCGCCCGGTCGCCGCCCGACCGCCGCCCGACCAAGTCTACTCAGAGATGGTTTTCCTTCTGGGTGCGGCCTC